TAGTTGTGCTTGAGGAATACACACCAGGCTCCCCCCAGCCAGCTTCTTTCCTTTGGCAGACAGACTTGTCGACATTTGCTTCTGTCAGCTTGAGATATCTGTACTGTCGTGCCTGTCAATTGGTGCCATCCAGTTTCTGGGCTATAAGGTAAGAGCTTTGGCTACATCTTTGGTCTTTGATGTGTCCTTGAACAAGTCACTGGGGGGAGGGGAGGGAACTGGGATGCTCGCCAGGGTGGAAGAAAGAGCACTTCAGACGAGAGGCTGCACTCAGTAAGCACTTAGCTCCCGCCAGCTCAGCCCCAATGATGAATAAAGGAAGGTCTAAGAACAGACTGAGGGCAGGTGGGGAAGGGTGACAACTGTGTCCACAGGACAAGTGTCCAGGAGTTAGTGTGTTTAGAGGCAGTGTCCTCTAGACACTAAAGGCACAGGCTCTGAAAACAGTCTTCTGGGATGGAAACAGTGGTTTCTCCATTTACAATGACCTGGGGGAATTTGCCAAGTGCCTCTGTGCCTCTGTTTATTTATCTGAAAATTGGATAGCTAAGAATGCCTACCTCAGAGGCTTCTTGTAAGGATTAAAATGAGATAGTCCTTGCAAATTCCTTAGCAGGGCATCAGGCACAGAGGAAGTGCTCCTTAAGCATTAGCCACTATGTCAGAGGCCTGGGGGTGGGGGGCACTCACCCTCTCCAGCTCCTCCCTCTGGGCAAATAGGAAGACTATCTTTCCCAGCACCCTGGCGACCAGGGCTGTGCCATGCCATGGGATCTGGCCAGTGGAATGTGGGGGGCATGTGTACCACCTCTAGGCCTGACAGTAAAATAAATGGTGTGTCATGGGTTGAATAGCAGCCCTCCAAATGTCTTAACCCTCAAAACCTACAAAGTGGACCTTATCTGGAAAAAGGGTTTTTGCAGATGTAAATCAGTTAGGGATTGGAGGATGAGATCATCATAGATTTGGGGCTGGTCCTAAATCCAATGACAGGTGTCCTTATAAGAGGCAAGACATACATACATACATACATACATACGTACATACATACATACTTACACACATACATACATGCATAGAGAAGGTATGCACAGACACAGAAGAAGGCCATGTGAAGATGGAGGCAGAGGTTGCAGTCACGTCTCTATAAGCTGAGGAGTGCCGAGGATCGCTGACAGCCACCAGAAGCTGGAGAGAGGCAAGGAACAGATTCTTCTCAGTTTCTCCGGAAGGAACCAACCCTGCCAACTTCATTTCAGACTTGCGGCCTCCAGAACTACGAGAGAATACATTCTGTTGTTTAAGCCACACGGTGTGGCAGTGTGTTGTGGCCGTCCCAGGAAATGAGCACACCATGTAACCGTCCAAGCTCCCTCTCTCAGAAGCAAGTGGCCTGACGTGCAGTCACTCGAGGGCAGGAGCAGGCAGCCCGCGTCACTCCCAGGTGCAGAGCTGCAGGGGACCTGCATGATGAGCATCAGACTTGGCGGGAGTGAGACCACACTTCTTGTGAATCAGACCAGGGAGATGCAGGCCTTGCCTGTTACAGCAGCAGTATTAATTCTCCTGAGTGATGCAACTGTTATTAGGGGTCTAAAGTAGAGGTCTGGATGAGACAGAAAGGAAGAACAACCGGAATAGCAGGGAAAGAGGAGGTGGGCGATTCCAACCCCTCACCCTCAGCAGTGTATCAAGTTCTGGACCTTTCTTGTGAATATGGGTTTGGGACAGAGTGACCCACACAAAGTCCTGCTTGTTCATCTTATCCCTGCAACCTACTGGAGTTACTGCTGCCTCAGACTGTCCCACTTCTTATTACAAAACAGAGCGGTAGAGTCTATGAACCCGTGGACAGACACTGACCTGATTTCCTGAGAGACCTCAGATTGAGAAAGAATGTGGCCCCAGGCCAGAGGAAGCCACAAGGCACATCCCAGGACTGACTCAATCCAGACCGGGCATCCCGTTAAAGCAGGATAAAGACGACGTCATCCATCTGAATGGTGACTCAGCTTCTTAGACGGCCCATTAAGAAAATGTGGAAATCACAGCCTCGCCTTGGGCTTAGAAACTATAGGAATAGAGTGAAGACGGGACTATGGAAAATTTTGAGACGCCACAGTGCAATCGGTCTCATTTCACTTGGAACTGATCTTCACTGAAATCACTTTCCATCGTCCCCAAGTGGCACAGGTTTGGGGATAAAGGCTCGTCTGTGTGCAGGCTGCAGATCCAGCTTCTCCACAGCCAGGATGGCAGAGAGCTGTGTCCACCAGAGAAGAACTGTAAGAAGGTGTCAGGGAGCCCCCTGGAAAGCAATTACTCCAAGGGCAGGGGGCCTGGAGGTAAGTAAGACTGGACCAAACAGGTCAGTGCATAGGGAGCTTCAACAAACAACAAGGAAGATGTAGAGAGTCCTGGTAATGGGGAGCATCGCTGGGGGGTGAACGGGGTGCACATTTGTGGAGAGCACACCTCTGCTTTAACCCGTGTTGCAGGAGCAGGTCTCAGACAGCCATGTGTCCCAGAGACCTAAGCACCAAGTCATAACTCAAAGAAAGCAACATCCCTGAAGTGACCTGAAATTCATGTCCTGCCATCCTAGAAAAGCAGAGGGAATGTTCACGTGCAACAGGTACCAGCAGAGAGGGTTTCATGGCTGAAGTTCCTGTGATCAAGTGAGTGAGGCTGAGGCAGAAATGTGGGTCTTGTAATGGACATTGTGACCCTCTTTCTTGGGTGGTCCTTTCTCTTCCCCCCACATGTCCAGCCCACCCCTACAAGCTTCCAGCATCCCAGCCTGCTCATGGAGACCTCCCATTTCTGAAGGACACATTCACTTTTCCATAAACCTGAGCTCCACTGCGACACATGTTGCATTCCTCTCTCATGCTCTTTCCATGTATTTACATCCTAAATCTTCCATTGGATCGATCGCACCTTCCAGGGAGAGGAGAGACCACGTCTCTCTCATCTTCCATCTCCAGGACTCAGATGGATCCTGATGCAAAGCAGCTCAATCACACCACCCTACTCCACCATTCTTAGCACTTACAGGGAAGCTTTTCTTTCAAGGAAGGAAATCAGCTCTTGTGGATAAAAGCTAATGGCATTCTGGCCCATTTTGATCTTAACAGGATGATTCTTAAAAGAAGGTTGAGAAAAGTATGATGTAAACAAAACAGATAGCCCATACGGTCCAGAATTCTTGGAACCTTGAGCTTTAGCTAAAATGCCCAACAGCTCCCTTGCCATATGTCTTGGGTCAGGTTCCCCCAGAAGCAAACCTGGGACAAGGACTTGGATGTATGTGGCTTATTTGGGAGGTCATCCGGGGGGGGACTGGGAGGGAAGCGGGGATGTGAGAAGGGATCGGGAGCAAAGTCTGTAAAGACTGGCCCTCGAGCAGGGAGCTCCGTGTGACCTGGGCTTGCCACCCCGGGAAGCTCTGGGAGGCAGAACGGAGCAGCCTCAGCCAAGGAGCAAGGGAGCTGGGATGTTTATCCTACAGGTCCCATTGGGCACTGGTTGGGGATCGTGCTGAGTGCAGACACACAGGTCACTTCCAGCTGTCCTGCATGCAGACCAGGAGAAGCATCAGCATTAATTGGAAGGGTGAGTGCTGGAACGTGTGGGTAGGCACAGAGACCCTCTGCTGCCACACCAATAACCTGTCCCCTGGCCATGCAGCACCAGAGAAGTGCACATTTCTGGGGAACTCAGTCTGTATACATACCCATCTACCTAATTTAGGCCACAAGAGATGGTCCATGTGTCGTCCCTTGTTGCCTTCCTGGACACATTGGTGATCCATCTCAGACCAAGAGGGAAAGGGCAGGACCCTGTGGATGGTTGGACTACAACGTAGAGTTCACTCCTGATGCTACTGTAGCAGCCCGGGTGCTCCACGCAATCTGCACCAGGTGAGGCAAGGAAGCCTCTTGTGGATAACCCACTATTCAGGGTATTGGTTAAAGAACCAAGTTTAAATCATGACAACCACATCCTTTCCCCTCCACTCTTCTGAAATTTAGACTGAAATCACAATACAGAGGGTCACTGTTTGTTGGCTTCTGATCTTTCCTGCGCTTCCATTCCCAAGGAATTTAAGCCAGCAGTTGGCAACCTGGCCAGCAATGGGCCTCTTGGAGGCTGGATGGGGAAAATGTAGCCTCACATCTTCGGTGGGAAGTTGTGGATCGGGTGTGTCAGCCTTGTGGGTGGGTTAAGCTTCACCGGGTGATGAGCCAGACCTAAAGGATGCTCATATATTAGATTTTGGGAGATTTCCATTACTTAGAGCTGAATGAAGTTCCTTAGATATGAGTTTAATTATTATGTTTGATAATGTATCATTAAAAATGTTACCTCATCAGAAAATGAAGAAAGTACAGGCAGCACAGAGTTTTATAAACTATGTAGCTTATAATAATGGAAATGGAATCACTGAAGTTTGAAGGCTTAATCTGTGCTTAACCTGTATTGGGCACTGTAGAAACTTTAAAATTTAGAACACTGGAAGATAAGTATAATTACTCAATTTACAAAGAGGACATCAAATTTTACAAAAAACGCCCCACCTCCTAAGGCTATAATGGCATTCCTTTTATATGATATGGAAAAGGCACTTCAGAGGAGGACATGGTGGCTGCGTGAGGGAACAGACACCAGTGATGCTCTAACTGAGCCACCTGGGTCTGGAAGTGAGGGGCCCATTCCTGGAAGAATTCTAGAGCACATAAGGGGCTCCAGCATCATAACTCCTGTTATGTCCGGATGCTAACACTCAGAAACCTAGGCTCCTGGTTCTCAGGTTTTTAAGTGGAATGTGAGGGTTCAGCTGAAGAACCTGTCCTGCTGGACAGGTGGGGGGTGGGGTGGGGGATATCCTTCTGCCAAAGGGGGTGGATGTGACAACAGTTTGTAAGATCCGTGCCCTGGGCACAAATCCTACACGCCAAAGTGACTCGCCTCACAGAGACCACAAGACAAGAGATCGCTGCAATTTAAGCAAGAGGTGTTTATTCAGCATATGCTGGGTCGCCTTTTTCATAAGCGGCCCCGAGCTCCTTGACATGAGAGTTTTTATACACTTTCTTTGGACAAAGACTTTTTTTCATGGTCAGGCTTAACAGGCTAGGACCCCCCCCCCCGATAAGGGGCTGTTCAAATTTTTTTTGAAACCTCGGGGGTCCCAGGCTCATAAGCGGCTGCCAACTGTGTCCAAACTTCTTTCTGCACTGCTTGAAGTCCTTTCAACCTGGCATATAAGTCACTGTTACTGTGGCAAGTGGGTTCAAAAGCATTTCCCAGCAAAGTCAAGGGGGCAGGAGCACCATAGAGTATCTCAAAGGGGCTTAGGTTGAACTGAGAGGGGGTGTTCCTAACTCTGAACAAGGCTAAGGGAAGGAGCAACACCCAGTCCACACCAGTCTCTGTGGTTAATTTAGCCAGAGCCTCTTTTAGAGTTCTGTTCATCCTTTCTACCTGCCCTGAACTCTGGGGTCTGTAAATGCAATGTAATTTCCAATTGACCCCTAGTTGTCTGGCCACTCCCTGACTCACCTTGGCGACGAAAGCGGGTCCATTGTCAGACCCGATTACCTTGGGCACCCCGAACCATGGAAAGATTTCTTCTAGGATCTTCTTGACCACGACAGTGGCTGTTTCTTGTTTTGTCGGGAAGGCTTTTACCCATCCAGAGAAAGTGTCTGTAAAAACTAGGAGATACTTGTAACCATATCTGCCTGGTTTAATCTCTGTAAAGTCTATTTTCCAATACATCCCTGGTCTGTCTCCTCTGAGTCTTTTACTAGGGCCCGCTATATTCTTGCAGACATTCACTTTTTGGCAAGGTACACAGCCTTTAACTATTTGTTCTACTAATTGTTTTAGCCCCATTATATGATATTTGGTTTTTAGGGCAGTCTGGACTAATTTATTTACTCTCAGATGAGTCCACTGATGCATCTGTTTAACCATGATGCGTGTTTGTTCTTGTGGCAAGATAGGCTTGCCTGATGCTGCATACCAGCGCCCTTTTTCTTGATCAAAGCAGTTATTAGAGTCCCTTGAGATCACTGCTACGTCCTCAGCTGAGTATTTAAACCTGGGCTTTTCTGGCTCAGGGATGTTAACCAACAAAATAGATGAGGACCCATGGGCTGCCACCCTTGCCTCTGAATCAGCCAAGTTGTTTCCCCTGGCGATGGGGGAATCCCCTTTCTTGTGGCCCAGGCAGTGTTTAATACTCACTTTTAGCAGTCTGTGAAGGGCCTCTAGCAGGGCTATGATCTCTGCCTTTTTTTTTTCTTTCCCTCCAGAGGTCAGCAGACCCCATTGTTGACAAATCACCGTGCACATGGGCAGTGGCAAAGGCATACCTGCTGTCCGTATGGATGTTGATTCTTTTGCCCTCTCCTAGTTCAAGGGCTTTCGTGAAGGTGATGAGTTCTGCCTTCTGGGCGGACGTTCCGGCAGGTAAGGTCTGTGCCCATATCAGGTTCTGGCCATCTATTGCAGTGGCTCCTGCCTCTCATACTCCTTCCTCCAGGAAACTGCTGCTGTCAGTAAACCAGGTGGCTTCGGCGTCCGTCAGAGGCTGATCTGACAAGTCTTTCTGTCATCCATGTGCCTCAGCAAGCACTTGTTGACAATCATGGGTAGGCGGGTCGAGGTAAGGGTCCGGCAGCAGTGTGGCTGGATTTAAGCTCGCCAGCGGAGCAAAAGTGACCTGGTCTGAATTCAGTAACAGAGTCTGATAGTGAGTCATGCGAGCATTTGTGACGGACAACACTCTCTAAAGCCTGAGGTGCTGAGATTACTAAATTCTGTCCCATAGTCAATTTGTCAGCATCTTTTACTAGGACAGTAACTGCCGCTACAATCCTTAGACAGGCTGGCCACCCAGCGGCTGCTGGGTCTAGTTTTTTAGACAGATATGCTACAGGCCTTTTTTAGAGCTCCAGTTCTTTTTTGTTGTTGTAGTACGCACATTGATCCTCTGCCAGGGGTCCCTTCCTGTTGCCCGGTACTGTCTTACTGGGCTCCCTAGTTTCCCTGACTACAGTGGCCAGAGTTTTGTGAAAATTTCTTTCTTGGTGCCTTTACTAGACTGGTCAATAAAAGCAACTGTCACAGTAGCTTTCTGCTCTTTACCATTAGGATCATACGGGGTAAACTGACGGAATGCTGATGGAGACTCATTGGGCCCCTAGATTACCTCTTTTACCTTAGTCAAATTGGTGGGGCATTTTGCCGCCCCTCGGAGACCTGCCATTAGAGCCTGGCGATAGACCTTCAGGTGCTCCCTACCTTCTGCCGAGTTGAAATCACAGTTTCGTCTGGTCAACGGGAATCCTGCATCTATGACATTGGGGAGGAGAGTAGGTTGTTTTCTCCTCGGTGGTGAACAGGACCTGGAGGAGCTGCTGGCAGTCATCCCAGGTGGGCTGGTGGGTATAAAAGACAGACTCCAAAAGAGAAATTAGGCCTTGTGGCTCATTAGAGAAAGAAGGATTCTGGTTTTTATTTAATTATATAAGTCACTTATGGTAAAGGGTACATAGACCATAAAGGGTTTTTGGGCACTGGGGCCTGACGTAAGGGCAAAGAAGGGGGGGGGCAGGAGACGTGAGCTACGAGGGGTCCATGTTTGTGGGTCAGGTGCAAGGTCTTGCCAAGCCTCATCTGGTTTCCTCGCCGTCATCTCAGGACCCTGCAAGATTTTGATTTGTGCCAGTGTACTTGGCCAGTGCCCAAGGTCAGCCTCCAGTCGTTCGGCCTTGATCATTTTCTAAAATTTTACAAGACTTAAAGAAAGAACTGTTAGCTCTGCAAAGTACCAACCAGCTTCTGAGCCTCGCCTTCCTACTTAGTGAGATAAGAAAGTCAGGGGATGGGAAGCAAGAGTAGAGAGAGAGAGAAAAACTTGTCTCTTTAAAAAATCTTCCCCACCCCCATAGCCCAGGCCGCTTTAGGTCCCCAAACGGCTTTAGTCTTGTTTATTTTAACAATTTTCCACTGTCAATAGTTCTTTTCACTTTTATGGAGTGGGCCGCCGACTCATCTGACTGCTTCAAGCTGGTTGTAGGGTGCAGTAGGGGTTAATGTGGGATAGAACTATTGACATGATGGGGAACCTAGCTCTTGTCCCCCCGCTGGAGTGGAGCAGAGGATCAAGAGCATTTGTTTATCTATTGTCTTAATAGTTGAGTCACAACAGGTGGCTTACTCAGAGTTAGCAAGCTATATATTAATTGGTACATTAAGAATATTAAGAACTTACATGAATCCTTTGTTTGGAAACAGGATGTCTCATCCAAGTTATGAGTCTCTTCCTTCAAGTTTATGAAACTTTAGAGAACTGCTTGTGTAGACAAGACATCACTTCCCCCTTTTTTTTGGATCAAAATATTCCTCATGGAAGCATTGAAGATCAATTTTCTGATTGAAAAGGTTTTACTTTTCTTTGTATGGATGCCTCAGTGCTGGGAAGACTTATTCCCAGGTAGACATGTTATTTTATACTATAAAAATCAGAAGGATACTTACAAATAGTTTTTAAATTTTGGAGGAATCAAAGAGGAAAAAAGGCAAATATTTTCATCTTTGTTTATAAAGCACATTTTACCAAATGCTGTAAGTTATAGATAGCTTAGAGAAAAAGTTTCCTGAAAACAAAACATTTAAGTAAAGAACAAACAATGCAAGTTACAAAACATTTTTATCAGTTACTTAACTTTGTATACTTAATTTTTGTTTTATTTGATCTTAATTAGTAGTTTTATAAACTCATCAGATTTTTTTACTAGAGTTTTGAAAGCCTTTTATCTTGTCCATTGTTCTCAAAGTTATTTGACCTTAATATTAAGTTTTAGTCTTTAGAAAAACTTAGCTAATTGCCTTTTAATTATAATCAATTTAATCATACACAAAATCTTTTTGTAAATTCACTTTTTACAAACCATTATTACCACTTACTCAGACCTTTTATGACATGCTCTAGACCTTTCATTTGTTCTATACTTCTCACTTTCTAAATAACCAGTCATTTTGTTCTAGGACAAAGTTCACCACACACGATGCTTTTTTACAATGAAGTATTTTCTTTTTCCTGCATAAATTAACCTCATTTATGTAAAAATCTCATGATCAAAGATCATTCTGTTTTAGGCTGGGCTTATAACTTTAACCTTAAAACCTCTAGCAAAGACAAATGTAATCCTGTTTGACCAGCAAACCCAAGCAGATAATTGCAAAAACATTTCTCATAGCAGTGTGATTTTCAAAAAGCCTTTTTACCTTTTTTCAGTTGCTCACATTTAGCTATAACTGGCTGCATTGTATAAGAAAAACAGAATCTCCAAGTGGCCTTGATTTTTCTAACAGTTTTTTTTTTTTATCTTGGCTGAAATGCCATAGACAGTGAGTTTTTCTTATAACAACACTTGCAGAACTCTGTGCACAGATAGACAAATTTTGTACAGAGACTTAGCTAATTACAGTGCTCGGTTT